AGAGCAAAATTATTTTGCTTAAAAATTCAATCGAGAAAGTTCTGTAGCCACTGAAAAAAATCTTCCAAGGGTTGTTTTTATTTTACACAATAGAAGAAAAGAAAGTTGAAAGAAAATTAAATAATTTGTCTTATTCTAACAGTTGACATTTTTACCAAAGTCGATCTAGTCCAATCTTAAGCTGATGTGACTGATAAAAATTTAAAAGTATTGATTTTTCTTTCCTCACAAAAATGCTTTGCAGGTTTAAAAGGCAAATCTGTTACCAGCCAAATTTCATGCCTCAATTGAATATTTTTAATTTTTGCCGTTTCAAAATTACTGATTTTCTCACACTCCAGTATATCAGTGATGAATTCAGCTGATTCCACTGTGTTTTTAATGAACTTCCAATTAAATGTTTTTCTTGGATTGTCTTCTCTAAGATAATATAATTATAATCTGATAGAGGTATAAATTTGAAAATAATTGAAGGAGATTAACGTTTTTAGCTACGGTGACTGATTTCGAGGTCGGAATCTCACGCCGGCGCGTTTTCTTTGAACTGAAGCGTTTTATCTCGGCTGATCTCCGGCAGAATAACAACACAATACAATTCATAACGAATGCACGCAGCTTCCCGGCAGCGTCGGTTTTCCTCTCGCTTGGGCTGCGAAGCGCGGCGAGTCGCTGCTGCAAGTGCACACAGAATTGTGAGTTGTGAAAAAATTGTCGCGCTCGGGTGAATCCAGAGGAAGAGCCAAGTCACGCTCCAGCCTGAAGGTCGCCGACAAACGAGGGAATTTTTTTAATAATAACATAATATCAAGGAGGAGCAAAAGAATAAGAAAAAAAAAAGAGGTGCACCGTGCGTAAAACGACGACGGCACCCTTCATTGTCCTCGGAGCATTCCAACGCACGCTTGATGATAGTATTTTATGATACACGGCGGTGACTCTAAACCGTTCTTCCTCTGCATAATGCATGCGGGGAGGAATTAAGTCATTTGTCACCAAGTTGACTGACAATTAATCCGCTTCATTTGTTGCTGCATCTCGTGAATAAACATGCTGTCATGAGAGAGTGCTTTTTAATCCTTTGCGCACCGATGATGAATCGTTCTTAGCGAAAAAGACCTTGTCTGTGTGATGGGAAAATAATTAGATTGGGCGTCGCACATTTTATTTTGTCACCTTGATATCAGACATGAAGCTTCAAGATTTTCTTCTTCTAAAAATAGCTGGGAGTAGATTAAAATTTACAATTAAAATTACGAGTTGTCAGTATTTATTGTAATTAAGACTCTAAGAAATAAATTGAGTAAAAATTTGATATGTTTTCAAAGTGAATTGCATTGTTCTAAAAATTACCTACCAGATTAATTTTTAATGAATTTTTTATACAGTATTAATAGTTTGAAATTTCCATTGAGAAATCTTAAGAAAAATTGAAACATTTGAATAACTGTATTTTTGAATGTTTAAATTGTTCCTCACATGATTTCATTAAAATGGGTTTTTCTCTAAAACTTTGCAGTTAAAATGAGGAAAAACAAGCAAATTCATCAATTTAACATGTCACTGAAATTAAAATAAGTTGAAAAAAAAATCAATTAGTAGTTCCTTGATTTTAATATATTTTTATTTTCTCTTGTTAAATCTTCTTATTTCCTCTATTTCAACATTGCAGGACTTTATAAATATTTCTATAACAAAATTAAATCCAACAATGATTGTATTAGTCAGTATTAGTTTGAATTATTTCGAAATTAATTATTCTCCTCAACTTTGCAGAGGCGTTTTATAGACTAATTTCCAAATAATTCCCTTCAAATGCATAATAAACCGTGGAAATCGTTTCCGAAAGTGAAGGTTGGCTGCTCACTCAGCCGTCACTTGAGTCAACAAAATGTGCCAAATCACACATTATTTCGCTCCATCACGCGAATCCGCTCGCAGCGTTTATCTCTTTCTCTATAATTTGGGTCCAGCCGCGTCAACTGACAACGCAATAACCCTTTTCCTAGCACTTGCGATTATGCAACTGTGCGATTTATTTCACAGCAGAGACCGTGTCTGGCGTGCGGTTTAGCTTCTTAAATCATCCATTGTTGTCTGAAACTGGATATGTACGTTGGTACGAAAGCGCAGAGGCGAACATTAAAAATAGCAGCTCTCGGAAAATCGTGCCGTGGAGCGAGCGAAAGATCTTTCTGCGGGGTAGAAAAAAGCTTGAAAGTAGTTGTGGCGCGGCGGCTGCGAGAGGCAATCATAAAAATAAAGCATTATACGGTAATGGCGGCCATTAGAATAGCAGGTAGATGGGTTGAATGAGGTTCAAGGCCTGCAACGCCAGCCAGCATTACGTGACGCGCTTTCTTTCGAGTCTGCTGGTGTCGAACAATCTCACGCGACGTTGCCACGCTTCAAATTCAAGGCGAAAAACCAAAAGTCCTTTTTCGGATGTCGATATAATATAATATTATTCTGCACGTGGATTGTCAAAACACGCGCATGATCACCTGCACGTATATTCGCCTTGAACATTTTTCGCCAAATTTAAGTGGCGGAATTTATGGAGACCATTCCGATGACTATTTTCGCCTAATTTATTCCGACCGTAAACTCTGAAGGGAAAGAATTTTTATTATTCGAGTTTGTGCGGCGAATTAGGATAGACGAATGTACAAAACCGGTAAAAGCTGCTTTTGCGGAGATGATGTTGCGCAAATCTGCCAAAATGACGTGAGCAACCGAGACGGAAATTGGGTGGTGTCGCGGTTCGTGCCGAGGCCGAATCGTTAACGAAACAGCTGGTCACAGACAATTCAATCACAATTGCTTGAAAATGTTGAGAAACATTGTTTTTAGCATCAATAACTAAATATTTCCGTCCTTTTCTATAAATGATTTGTATGTATGAAACTAAAATTTAACTTCAAATTTCACGGAAAGCATTGTTAACTTGATAGCAAAATATTTGTGCAGACTGATTTTTGTACTAAAATGATTTCACAGCTTGTGAATTATGGCAGGGTATTGTTTTTTCGTAAACAATAAAAAACTCGCAATACCCATTAGAGGATAAGCCAATTTCGAATTCAAATTACCATGAATCAATCCTCGATCGTGAAATTCCACCTCAAAAATAAAACAAAATAATCAGCACTCTCCGAATTATTGACCGCTCTTATAGGAATATTTGACATTAATCATCTTGTTCTCACTCAATTATAAATCTTTTCAATTACTGATCGTTACTGATCACCAATTTTCGTTCAAAGAAATTGGTATATGCTGGCTGAAGAAGATATATTTAATGAGTAAAACTATTTAAAATTTCTTCTTTTATCAAATTTACCATACATTTTTTGTTTTTTCAAAACTTAAAAATCCTTTCCTTTTTTATTAGAGTCAAAAAAATCCTTATGCTTCAGTTTAATATCTTGGAGTGCGTCGTATTTTGAGCATAGTTATGAAATTTCCATAAAAGTTTATTAATTCATAAAATTGTATTGCTATACAAGCAATTTGGAAAAAGTAAACAAATCCATGGATACTAATGATATCCTTGTATATAATTACGGAAATGCCCACCTTGTGCGTGCCTCGTCGCAATGCATAACGAGAAAATCGAATGAAATTTAGGGCCCGTCTGACTCATCCACCTTTCTTGTGCGTGCCGCGCCGGAGTATAAAATCGTCGATAAATCATGGAATCGCCCTTTTTGTTGATATTGGGGTGCGTGTCCTGCCGGCATTAAAGGGCTGTTCGCCCCTAAAAGCTATGCACCCGGCCAAACACGCGCGCTTAATCTTATGCAATATGCTGGCGTGAGCAAAAGAGAGAGAAAGAAAGAGGCAGTCACGCTATTTCCTTTCACGCCATCGCATCACAATATATAATAGTCGGTTATTTTGCGTGACGTCACGCCTTACGGAACTCTGGTTCAGTAGGATAGCAAGGGCTTCGGACGGGCTCCACTGAGCACGCTCTCGCGAGACCACCGCGCGCACCGCATTTTCCCTCAAATAATTTATTTATCTTTGTTGTTTTCCGCCGCAATTTCTCATCCCTGACACTTGTTCGCGGTCTGATGCCGCTGAATTTTTCTATCTTTCTTTCCTTCTCAGTCATTATCATCTCCGCTGCTCTTTTTTAAATGACCGGCCAAGCAAAAAACCATTCCTTGCATTGTCCCGTGCTCGCTTTTCCGAATCGATGCCGCGGCTTGCGAAACGCCGGCTGCTCTCCGCCATTGTCTCCGTCGTCGTCTTTTTTCGCTCTCTCGTGTGCAGAATTGAAAGGCTGTTCTATCCATCTCGGCTGATAAATTGACGGTAACGAGGGTTGCCTGAATAATGGTGTTTCTGACCGAGCGGTTTTATTGTTCGCAAAACTTTTGAGTTTGTTGTGTGCAAAACTCACCGAAGGCTGAATTTTTATTGTCTGGCCGGCACGCTACTTACGAAAGTTGGCAATTAGAGACCGCAATTGTTTGCCTTCCAATGTTCCAATTGCACTCAACTAGATTTAATTGTAAAATTTGCAAGCAATTTCATTGATAACTGAAATTTTATTTACTTGGTGGTTATAATGATATGGACAATAAAAAAAAATAGAATAAACCTTTATTAAATAAAATTAATTGATGAAAAATACCAAATTTTTGTTGTAATTTTCGGTGACATTATAATGAGAAAAAATTAAATTATTTTTTTTTTTGAAATTTTAGATTTGCATTTTTATTTTATTTTAATTATTTAAAGATTTTAAATTAATTAATTAAAATAAAAAAATATTTAGAATGTTTTTTAATTAATGGACAAAAATAATAAATCATTAGAATGATAAATTATGTAATTTTTTTAATTAAAAGTAAGCGATAATTGAAGATGATAAATTAAACTCAAGAGTATTTTACAACAATTTAACACTAAAAATTTGATATTTTTTAAATAATCATGCATTAGATCCCAAATCCCAATCATATCAATTTTAAAACTCTCAACCAATAAGAAATCTTTAAGACTTCATTCAGATTTCTCTAATGAAGTAATTATTTATATTTATAGTTTTTACACGTGTCATTATGTTAAAAATTGAAAGTAATCATATATTTGATGCTATGTCACAATATTTCTCAATCACATGATTTGCGCTTTCATCTGGTTAAATGGCCGGAAACCAATTTCATTACTTTTTTATGTTAAATGCATTATCCGTTTAGCGAAAGTGGCGACCGAAAATTTATTTTCTGGCGAGTCACAGCATTTCGGCGAAAGCCTCTTTATTTCGGACTCGTTCGAGCGGTGCTCACAATTGGTAATTTCATTCTTTTGCACCGCGCAGCTGCTTAAGTGATTCGAACAAAATAATAATGGCCCCTTAAAAAGCAAAACCTCATCATCTCAGCGGCCCACACTGGCGCTCATTTCCAAACAATGCGCTGCAGACTCATTCCGTGCAGCAATTACAGCATCTCCAGCGAGAGAAGATGCTGTGCAATTTTTTTCTGCACTCCCACTGTTGTTTCGTCTGCTATTAATTTGGCGTCAATTTTGAGGGGCACCGCGCGCAACCTTGAAAGAGTCTGACGGCGCATCACGTCAGCACACGTGCTCTCGAAAACACACTCTCTCGCGTGAGTGTGTTTTTTTTTTCTTTATTTTGTCGGGGCCGCTCGCGCGTCTCTTTTTTTGCTTCCTAGTCGCAGAAGAAAATTGCACGAGCGAATCGCCGCCGGCTCGCCTGTCGATATCTCTCTCTTTTTTTCCAGCCTGGTGCAGCCAGAAAGGAAGCGCGCTTCTGCTTATCTCCCGCTGGAAAAAGGAAGAGGCCTTATCACTGACAATGCCAGGAAATCACACGCACACCAAAACGAACTAACGAACCTTCCTTCCATCTTGGCCATTTTAATTTTTTTCATCACGCCACAGACGCCTGGGATGGACAGCTGGAATGTCATTTAAATATAATCAACGAAGCAAACTTTTATTCCAACATGTTGCAAATTCTACTAGGAGACCGGAAATGCTCAGTTTAATGAATGTTGCATAATTATCCAGGATTCAAGTTTTTTACATGTGAAGGGGAAGAAGGAAAATTCCTTCTGGTCCATATTGTTTTTTTATTTTGCATACTTCATTTGCACACAGAACAAATTATGAATGCAGCTAGATTAAATTCTATAATTATATTTAATTTATTATCGTTTGAATTGTAAAAAAATCGATTCGTTTAAATGGGTTTCGGTCTTTTTATAATTATTTATTATCCTCCTACCTCCTGTAGTCAAAATACAACATAACTTTCCAATTTAACTAAAATTCAAATATACTGAAATAAATGAAATCAAAATTAAATTAACTTTTAATTAATTGACCGAGCTGTTTTTAGTTAAGAAAGTTAATATCATTTTCTTATACAATAAAAGCAGCTTCGAAATGCAGTCTTAATTCACAAGAAAAATAATTAATAAGAAAAACTTTTAAAGGAGAAAAAAATCCGTTTATATGATTTTGAATGCCACTTTCTTCACACTATTCAAATTCAATATTGGAAAATCGAAGAACACTGACAAGAGTTAATAAATTTGTGTAATTTTTAAGAAAAAAAAAACTTTAAAATTTTAACCTGGAACTGTGCTTATTTGAAAACAATATTATGTTTTCTCCAAACTTTTAATGAAAATGGCGCAAATAGAACAGACTTTTGGTTGTTCAGTAAGTGCGATATTATTTTCGTTTTCTCCATAATTTTTGCCACTTTTCTCTCTGTAAAAAACGCATTCAGGAAGCGAAACGAGTTTTGCAGAAGAAAGTCATATTTGGTCGTTGCGCCGGTAATGAAATTAGTCACTCCGTTCCTGAAAGGCTGCCGAGGTGCTCCAGAGATGAAAATATATACAAATAAAATGCAACCTCTGTGACTTTCCCTCGCGCCTCCGTCGTGAGTCAACTGGATTCGCGGTGCCCCTTCAGGAATAACATATAAAAGTGAAAGCTGAATCGCAATAAATAAATTAGAGAAGAAAAACGTCAGCATCCGTGTGCCGCCGACGAGAATAAATATATATAAAGAAACTCTCTAACCGAGTTTGTGATGCGGAGAACAACGGTTCTGCGTTTCAAGGACAAATGATGGAAGGAAAGGGCCGTGCACTTTGGCGTTATGCAAACCCCGAGACACACGTGCGCGGCGGGTCTGCCTGCCTGCGAAAATCTCCGTTTGGTATTCCGAAGCGTCGCGAGCCTCCCTTTCGGCCGACGTGAGCGACATGCACAAGCACGAGCGGTGCAGCCGAGCTGAATACAAATTCCTGGTCACACTACTTTTTATTTTCGGCGTTGCGAAATTTTTATTGACGAAGAGAGACGCGCCGTGTTATTATTTATGTGCTGCGTGTATAATTCGCAATTCGCGTGTTATTATTCCCTCCCGGGCCGGCCGCTTTCTCCACTCTGGGCCGGATTGTTACAATAAATCGTCAACTTTTCATCCGATGCAAATTGGATTTCGTTCGTTGTGCGCGCCGTGACGAATAACAAATGAGTTTCACGCTTCAATTGTCAATCGCGCCCGATGCCAAAAACATCCGTCAGTTCTTGTTTTGGTTTTGTTCGGCTTCACGAAAAAGTTTTTGCTTGCTTTTTATACACCTTTTTTCCATCAAAAAGCTAATGATGTGATTTCCTTTCAGACGAGAAATCTAGATGGAACCATTTTGATGCGTAATTAAAAAAAAATCATATACATGAAGATTTTCAGTTAAATTTTATTTTTATTTTTTTAGACATCATAAACTTTATTAAATTACATTTAATTTTGGATCGGGAATTTTTTATCTGAAATAGGTGAAAATTTGGTAAATTTTATATAAGTATTTTTTTTTAAATTTCATTTCCATGATCATCTCCTCGCGTGTCAACTTCTTCAAACAAATTATGTTTGAAGTTCAAATTTTTAAGATGGAAATATTTTTAGGTTAATTTAATACTTACAATTCAAAATGAGTGAATACAGGCGATAAATAGGTCAAAAAGGTTATTATAAATTTACTCAAAATAATGTGATGTGGTTGATTTTTAATCAAATGAGTGATTCTAGATAAATTTTGAAACCCTCATTTTAGTTAATAAATGAAACATTGGGGAATCATTTGTATCTTTTAGTTTTTCTCCAATAAATAGGTAAAAATTTACTACCAATTTTCTCAAACTTAATTGTTTATGGGAGTTTTCGGGAGTTTCCATCATTTAAATAGTTGCAGGCATTTTTATTTAAAAAAATTACACTTTATAGTCAAATTTTAAAGACCTTCTTCAAATTCTCCGATTTATGTTTTTCTTTCGAAAATTACGTCGTGGCCTTGGCTGTTAGTATTTTATTTCAAAGAAAGCTTTAAATACCTTCACAGCAGCAGACCAACAACATAAATAAAAACAATTACGACCGTCATCCGGTCATAAAAATTTGCTCCATCGACTGTGCCATTTATTTTCCCATCCTAAAGGCAAAAAAAAACTGCACAAAAACGAAACACCCAAGAGAGATTTTCTTACACTTTCAGCTCCAAAAATGAGCGGACTAATCACTATCATTTGCGCCAAATTGCAAACTTCTGGAACGCGCCAGCTGTTTTTCGAGAGTGATATCAGCACGGGCGGCAGATGTGTTTGGGCATCACGTAATAAAACAAACACATCTCATTCAGGAGGCAAAAGCCAACCGTCTCGAAATCGCCGCTCACGAAGGTCTAGCACCTGCTAGGAAAAAATTCGTCTTCCTTTTTTAACGGCCGCTCTTGTTGAGGCCCAGGGCAGTTGTGCTCGCGTGTCACCTGCTGCTGCACACCTTGCTGGCCCATCCCGTCCTCCGACATCAACAAGCAACTCGAAAGAGTGCAATTTATTGCAGGACTGCTGGCGTCGGTTCTGCTCTCGCGAGCAATAAAACCGTTTTATTCCCTGCAATTAAAAGCAATCTGGCATCAGCTGACAATGTGTCCTGGGGCAAAGAAATTCCATATTGTCCTAAGTTTATTTGCTAAATTTATTGGTCTGGCTCTGCGCCATTAAAGGTTTTTAGGACGTCGGCTAAATATGTGTTTAATGGTTTCAAGATAAAATTCCCCTTTTGATTCTTGTTTACCTAAAATTCATTGGCGTGTATTTAGTTTCAAAGAAGACTGGCGGAAATCTTTTTTTAATCTGCTCCAAAATTAATTTTTGAAATAGTTAAAAAGTCTTAAATTGAAAGAAAAACCATTTCTGCGAAGGATCTTTATGAATAGTTTTTAGAGTATGAAAATTTTTATTTTTTATTGGAGGGCCTTTTCTTCTTTGAATAAATTGTTCATTCAAATAATAATCCATAAATTTATTTAACTTATGTTATTTTATTCTATTTAAAAGACAAAAAAATACTAATTGAGACTTGTTTCAAAATTTGAACTTCGCCTTTTTGGGCTAAATCATGCTTTTTTTGCCTAAAAAAAAAACTAGTTTTTGTTATTTTTCTGACAACTTTAATACCAAGGGAAATAACAAAGGATTTTGAATGAATTATTAAAATAGCGTCAACAAAAATCCCATACTTTCAGTCACATCTGAAGCTTCTGCCAGGAGGATTCGCTCGACAAGCCAGCTCATTGTTTGGCGGCGCAGCTCACTGGGTGTGCTAATCAAAAATGCCGTAGGTGCCTGATGCAATTGTTCAGTTCAATGAATAGGAAATCCGCGCGATGAATATTAAGCCCATTGAATGAATAATTGCGCCTGCCGTTTTTCTCAAGGCCTTTGCGTCTCTTTTCGTCTCCCTCTCTCTGTAATTACCCGGCAGTTTTCCTCAATTTTTTTACTTCTTAATTATAATTGGCCAATCACGCGGTTTGTTTGCTCTTCGGGACTGTGTAATTAATTTCGGCCGCGAGATCTTTATCGATGTGCGCGCAGAGGTCGCTCTGAAGAAGTGATGCGGATCACGTTCGGCCCACGAAAGCAGAAAGAGAGCCGGAGGAACGAACACTCCTCTTGTCCACATACCGAAATACCGAACGGCTCCGTTTACACGCAGCATTATTCTTGGCGACGCACGCATGCCAAGAAATGTAAGCAAGAGCAGCACACCGACCACTCGACGCTATTTGTAGCCGGGAAAAAGGGTGCACCTTCCTCTGCGCTGGCGGTACAGAGAGAAAAATGGAGATGTTCGCGTTGCACTGCACGCTGCTGGTCGCACTTCAAAGAAAAGAACAAGTCTTGGCACCGATTCGGCCGAGGGGGAGATCAGGGGCTATTATCGTGTCTTCTTTACAAACCAAAACCACCCATGTTTCTAAATCTCAATCTTGTGAAGATTTCTTCAGAAAAGTTTAAAATTGAACTTTGCTTTAACAAAAGCGTTATGAAGTAAATAACAATTTAAATTTTAACAAACTTTGTTCTCTGGTTATTCAAATTTTATTATTTTAGTTTAGAATAATTTTTGTGAAAAGTCATTTTGCTTTTTCCAATGAGCTCCATTCTAACAAAATATCTTTCCAATTTGAGTAATCCTGATTAAAAATATGATAATAAAATCAACATTTTTAGATTTAATTATAATATCCGGATTATTTTGAGAATTTCTGTAAATTTCCATACAAATGTTAAAACTTTTTTAATATTTATTTTGTATTCTGAGCGTTTTCATAAGCCTTTCTAATTAATTGCTTCTTTAAAATTGGATTACACTTGATTGTGTTTGTATTGAAAATTAATTGGCTTTTCCATGATATTTTTTCCTATTTGTTTATTGTTTCTTGGAAAAAATTCAGTATGAAACAATTAAAGACTAAAAATCCCCATTTAGGGAATAAAGCCTGATTTCAATTCAAACCCCTTGAATCCACTGTCAATCTTGAAATTCTTCTTCATTCCCTTGAACATTTTCTATCTTTTTATTTTTATATAAATATTTTGTGTTTTTATATTTAAATTTAAAGGTTTCCCACTGACGCAAATGTCAAATCTTAATGAAAGCGCAATTTAGATACGAATTACAAAGTAATTTCGCATCCTTTTCCTGTAAAAATCTAGTTTCACTTTAAATTGACGATTTTCCATCCGTTCACTTGTTATTCGCCAGCCGCAAACGACATAAATTAATGAGCGGACACCGCGGTGTCCCAAATCCGGCTCTTGACCGTGACTCGACCGCGATTGCACGAATTCCAAAGAGTGCAAGCGGCGTCGAGCAAGGGAGCGAGCGAGTGACGTTTTCCGAATGCACTTGCTTGGCACCGGCTGACGTCACACGCTGCAGTCTGGGGGTGGACGTTGTTGACGCTGAGTAAATTTAGCCCCAACGTAAATAGAGCGGCCGACTGTTGGGGCCGCTGCCAAAGAGAAGAGTGAGGCGTAAACCAGCAGAATAAACGCGCGTGTCCTGCTTTTCCTCACTTGTCCCACCTGGCTGGCGTCTGTGTTAATTTTCAACCCGCCGCTGATTTAATTTTATGCTCGCTCGCAGAGATCCATTTCTTCTCATCCCTTGATAACCACATATTTTTTTTAAGATGTGGATTATTCTGACGTTTAAGTGACAATTTTACAATTAGGGCTTCGGCAGAATCATGCGAACAAATTAATTAAAAGTAAAAAATTATTTTATATTTTAATGGAAACGTTTAATAGAAATAATTGAAATGTTATTTTTTTTTTATTTATCCACATTGCACAGTCACTTCGTTTAAATTGAAATTTAATAATTAATTCTATTACCAAAGTGGAATTTTAAATTGAAATTTATAGAGGAAAACTAATTTGAGCTTTTATCCGAATTGTAAAGACTCTGAAATTAGAATAAAATTTATATTTAAAAAAAAATATTTTATTGAATATAATTTGATTCTAAATTCTTATTAATTAATTCAGAACGGGATAAACAAAACAGATATTGGAACCACAATTGTTAACATCATCACTATTTTATTGTTGATTCCATAATAAAAAGCATCCAAAGGCATCAGGTTCTATTCAATTTTTTCTTCTCTTTTTATAGAAAAATTTACTACCCAGCAGCCCTTTAATTATGTTTTATGTTCTCTTTTCCACAAAAGTCTGCTTTTTGAAGTGGCAAATAATAAAATAAGTCAAAATTTTCACCACAAAAATCTAAATTTTGCTTTATTTTATTTTATATTTAACGGTTTTTCTTTTTACATACAATTTTCGAAACAAAACAAATATAATCAATCTCATCTGAAAAGCAGCTTTCGTTTTTCAAGTACTAGTATTTTTCATGACTAAGCTGTAGCTAATTTAGTGGTTTCTCGATCGGCACGGGCGTTTCCACGAAAAGCGTTTTACCCTCTAAAAATAAATCGCGCTCGAACCCTTCTGCTTTTCGCAGCCAAGCTTTCTCGCGTTCTCTGTGAGAGAATTTTTTCCTTGTATATATTCGTGGCAAAATTCCTAGCGGCAGTGCCAAAGTGCGGCGCCCAACCCAAAGAGTTTTGGCATCGCCACCACTTGATCATAATCCAAGAACACATTTTCATCGCGCCAGAAGTGATTTGTTTGCCCCTTCAAAGGACATTTCTCAGGGGGAAAATCATCACGTATAGAAATGCGGACCAGTGCCAGCGTGTCTGAAAGGACAGAGTGGACACTGTCCAAGAAGTTTTGAAATCAGGAAATTATAAAAATAAAGAATCTGATTTGCTCTCATTCTAGACAGAAGAAATAATTTTATTATACTATTTTTCCACTCATGAAAACAACCGTATTAAATAAAATTGACACTAGTGGCGGAATTTTTGGAAAAGGTTTGAGATCAATTAATTATTTATTTCTACATAATTAAGAAAATTAAAAATTAAAAATAATATTCATTTTCAATCTTCAATTTTTTTGGTTTACTTAAAATTAATTTGAAACTGGAATTCTATTGGTCTCAGGCTATTGTGAGTTTATCTGCATTTTTTTCTGATTTTAATGGAGGTTAAATAATTAAAATTATTATTTGTATAGCCCAGTTATAGCCTACAACTAATTTGGGGATCAAGTAATGTAATAAATTTTCAGCAGTATTTTCCTCAATTTCTTTTTAACTTTGAATATTATTTTTTTTTAATAATTTACTTTTAAATTTAAATATTGTTAATATTTATTTTTAACTGATTATTTATTATTCATATTTTTGTCACACATCTGACAAATAATGTCCAAGTGGCCGAAATACCAGACAATTTTTCTTATTGATATTTCTGAACAAAATAATTATTTAAAAAATAGTTTGTTACTCATATTATATGTATGGATTCTAAAAAATATTTACAGATCCCAATGCAATTTTATTAGATTTTGTTCAATTTATTCAAAAATTTAAATTTGAAAATAGCGATGCGATTCTAATGAAATGTTAGATGGTCTAAAATTAAACATGTTTACAATTTCGCGAGCAGCCGCACGCATGCACCGACCTACCTTCTGAGGTGATAATGACACGCGGAGGGCACACAGCACTATTAACAAAAAGAGCAACGTTGCACGCGGCGGGTGTTATCAAGAACGGTCGGTGGTGCTCTTGTGCAAGGACGCCTGGCTTTCGCGCGTCAATATTTGCAAATGACTCATTAGCACACAAACAAGCGCGATAATTAAGCAGCAAGTGCTAACGCGCTCAGGGTGCATGGTGTGTGTGTGTCGTGTAATTATGGCGGCCAAAATACACGTACACACGCGCTATAATCTGTTGTGCGCGGCGTATCGCGTCGCCCGCTGCTCTCGTGATAACGAGCCGCTGACGACATTTATCAGCAAACTGCTACCGTGTCTTCATCCTCGAGAGCCCTAATTTAAATGCTCACGTTTTACGTAATACTAGCCCCAGTTTCTTTGCTGTCGACAACAAGTAAAAATGAATAAATTAATCAAATATAAAAATTAAAATATCAAGATTCCCAAAAAAGTATAATTTATAGATAGAAAATTAACTATTATTCAAATTGCAGTTAAATTTAAAAAAAAACCCCAGATAATTATGAACCCAAATTTCCCTAATAAGCAGAGAACGGAAAATTAAATTTTTCAAAGAAATCTTGACGTTGGATTTTGAACTCAGCAAGAAAACCAATGCTCGGAAAACGAATTAAAATACTTCAAAAAGTACTAATGAAATGATTAAAATAAAGTTTCCAATATTCAATAAAAATATAACAAATTTCTATATAAACAAATTACAGTAAATTTTAAAACGCAAGCTTTCTTAATAATTCAAATTTCACATCTTTAATTTCTCCAATCCCGAAAAACCAGCATTTCCCTTACTTTCAGTTTTCACTTTTGTTCAGTTAATAGTTTTGAACCCAAAAGAATAAAATCGATAAATTTGGTGGTTCAATTATAGACTTTGTCTTTTGGCCTGGTCTTATCCTTAACAAAATTATATATAACTTTCGCGCTATTTGTAAATAAACAAGCGTGTTGCGTTTTCGTCGCCTGAGGGAAGATTAATCACTTATTGGACTTCCGCTGCTTTTTTTTTCGACGTAAGCAGGATTTTCAGCGTAGCGGTGCCCTTGGCAAGGACACGCGCTCTTGAAATTAGTTTCGCATCGATTTGGATTCGCGACGGGGTCGGCAGATAATTGCCGATGACGTGAATGCCGGAGACGATTTCGGTCGCTGTCAAATTATGAACACGTGGCCCGAAGAAGATTGCTTTTTGTAGGAAATATAAACGTTGCTCGGATCATTACAAGGAACTAGCAAAATTAACTGTCGAAAACGTGATCATTTTTAATGCAAATACAACGACGCGGGTTTCTGGTATAAAATTTGGTAAGACTGCAAAGTCAATAAATCAATTTTCTACTTGCACGCAAGCCCAATTTTTGAGGTGATTAAGAAGATTTTGAGGAATTATGGCAAAATTAAAAATGCTGGAATAAGCGACAATTATTTTGAATTGCGTTTCAAGCTATTGCCCCCATTAAACTTCTTATCTGTATAATTTTAAAAGAAAAGATTATAGAGAATAAATTTAATATTTAATTTTATGTTTGAAAACATAACTATAAATGTTATTTAAATCAATTTTTAAAAACTACTTCGGTTTGTAGAAGTTTCTTTTTATTGTGATCTGTATGATAAAATTTCTTCAATGTTTAAAAAAAAATATTCATCATTTCATTTCTGCATTTTATTTTGCTGATTAACACAGGATGTTTTGGAGTTAATATTATGAAATTTGGAGCAATTTTCCTAGCTTGATTAATTTAAAGACTGAATTATTTAAATTATTATTATTAAAATTGTATGATCAATCTTTTTTTAATACTTCATTATCAAAGTTATTGATAATTAATTTGAGCAATTTATCAATTTGAGAGAGAAATCCACGCGGAAGTTAAATTAAGTCGATTAATCAAATCAACAATTATCTGGGCCGAAGTACAAATTAATTCATTTTTTTCTTTGTACAAAAACTGTAAAATTAAAATAGCAAAATCTCTTAATCTGCTCTTGACTCTTTTGGCCTGATGTAAAAATTATTATTTTTTTAGTGTTTCGCACAAAGTTACACAATCTGGCATTGAAATCTCCAGATCGAGGTTGCGGGAGAACAGGTGGCTTATTAGCACGGATCAATGCGGGCTGCGCGAACGCTAATCCATTAATGAAGCCCAACAAGTAAGCGGAGCGTGCAAATTGAAATCGGGTGGTGCTCGGCGGCGACCCGCGAGGGATTTGACGTGTGGGAACCGCCGCCGCCGCGTCCTTGAATGACGTAAACTGGCTGATTCGAATCTGGCTGAATCTTGGGGCCGAAAGCGGCAGACCGTGACTTAATTCCGTGCCAGCTCAACTCCCAACACAATGCGAGAGATGCAGCTGCAGCCGAGCGTGGCCACCAGAATTAATTACTCTCGCTGCAAATCATGGATTTTTCTCAGGGAAATCTTTCTTGTATATTTTTATTGAGAACTTCCGTTTGGTCGTTCCACTCGTGGATTTCGGAGCGCGTTTCGCGGCCAACTGAACTTGGAATTCGGCAACACTTCCTTGTTATGACGTGCGCCGCTGATTTCTAATTCCAGTTGTACACATAGTTTCTTACCTTTGTTATCTTTTTCTCACAGAGCAGTCACGGAGAATGAATTCGGTTCATTTGAATTTTTTTCAGGAGGTTAAAAAAGCCGAGCAAGAGAGGACTAATTAAAAAAATGTATTAACTTTTTCTTTTTACAATTTAATAAGATATCTTGATTCTCTCAAAGCAGAATGACATTGGTATTATCTATGAGTAATTTTGAAATTAAATTAATTTAAATTTTAACTATTTTAAGTTGAAAACTATTATTATTTACAATAATATTCAATATTTTATGTTCAGTTTATAAAAAAAAAATTAAAATTCAACTGCAGAAAATTTTGGAGAATGAAGCCTGATTTAATTTGATTAGAAGAAATGAAATTGTGATTTGATGTTTGCTGGAAACCGCTTCTTTTTTTAAAGGGTAAGACCATAAAATAACATTTAATTATTTAATCACGTTATCAAAAAATGTGCCTTTTATTTAAAAAATCATATCAAACTTAAATTGATTTTTTTTTTCTTTTTTTTTTATTTCACCTTAAAACATTCATTCTGTTCCCGCACAGTTTAGACTGAATGAAATTATCACCAAGTTTCTAATTTTGTTGCTCTCAGCGTGAAGAGTGCGGGGTAGATAAAGTGGGCAATTATTCCACTGCGCCACATCCTGAAAACCTGCTGATTACTTCACACACGCAGGCGGTTAATTGTCAAAGGTCGTCGCCCTTTGCCCGCGTGCATGTGCATTCAGAATGACGCGCTCTTTGTCAACTTTTTTTTATCGGGGCGGGCAATTGTTCTGCTGCGTCCGAGCTAATTATTTTTAATTTCCAAGGCTCTCGTTGGTTCATTTTTATCAAAAGCGCGGCGTCCTTATTTTGACATTGCTCCGGCGCGCACTTGAAGTTTTGAATTAAAAAAAAAATACTCCACTATCTGTGTACATACTTGCGGTTTTATCAGCGAACGTGAGATAAATAAAGTACATACGCTTGTTATTTACGTTTTCTGCCCTGATTCCGCTGCCGAGACACTTTTCCCGTGACCTTTCGCATTTCTTCCTCCCCGCCGCGATGAATTTCATTTTTATTTTCCTCTGCTGCTGTGTGTGTATGTGACATTTCTCTCGTAGCTGACAACAAAGCGTCTCGTCGATATCTCTGTCTCTGTTACTGCGATAATTGTAAAATTGTATCAGCCGCTCTCGCCATTGAACTGAAGCGTTTGACATCAGAGCGATCGCTCTTGTTTAATCAATGGGATTGTGTGTATTGTCTATTCGACGTACGTTTGTGTGTCTGACAGCCGATATTGTGCAACACACATCAAATAATAATAATTGACGTAATGCTCCAAATTGATTTTTTTTTTAATCGTTATACGACGACTTTAGAAGAATTTAATACAGAAATCGAATCTATATGCTCGAGCAAAAAAACTCGAGTCATCATTTTAAATTGGATCAATTTGGTGAAATGAAAAGTATATTTGAATTCAAAACAGGAGTGAAAAATTATAGTTTTAAAAACAGTCTATTGCAAAAATACATAATAAATAAAAAAATTAACATTGTTTGTGTCTTTTCGAGCGGCCTTTGCCAGGCTCATTTTGTTTTTATTGCATTCAAAGCGGTGAAACATTCCAATTTTACATAATTTTAATTATGTAATCACTATTTACAGTAGATAATTAATTATTTACATCAGAATAAAAAACAATATTTTTTCCCCTTTTTCGCCCAATTTACACTGAAAATATAAAAAAATCAACTTTGATTTTCAAAAATTCCGTTTGAAAATGTTATTTCAAAGTTTAATGAAAGAAAATATGATAAATTTTAAATCAAAGATCAGCGCTCAAAGAAAATGAAATAAAAGGACATGTGGCCTCAAAAAGCTTGGAAACAAGCAGCCCTATATGTTTTTAAAGAACCATGAGCGGATCACCTTTTAGGGGTCAGTTATCCTTGTTATTCAATTTTTTTTTATATATATAGCTTTTTTCACCAACCGCGGTTTCAATTTTGTCAAATGAGGAACAAAACGTACCATTTTTCAAGTTTCAAAGCCTTATAATTTTGAAATCATAGTTTTTTTTTCTTTCTCAAACATGAAGAGATCTATTAAAAAAGGAATTGATCACTTCTACCTGCAAGAAAACAAGTCTTGTCAATATCTTATTAGCAACCACCGATCAGCAGTTCAACACCCTGCCAATAAAAAAAATAACACCTTGGGATTCCCGTAAAATTTCCACTCTAACAAAAGGTTTGACGCGAGATTTCTTCCCATCTCAAAATGAGAACTTCCTTTTTTTATTTCTTCACATTTGAAAGCGGCAACACTGGGTAATTCGAGTGTGCCGCGGGAATGAAAAATCGTGCCCGTCCGAGTGTGGGAGTATGTACGAGTGAGAAGTGTGCATACAAACAGAAATGAAAATAATGATGATGATAATGTCGTGCTGCGGGGTCGCACGAACTCACATAGCGTGATACACATCGCATCCATCGCGGAGAGATGCCCTTCAGCTTTGGACGGACGGACGAACCACG